AACACGACCGAAGGAATCTACATGGAGTTAGTGAATACAATTTTATCAAATTTAAAAATACAACCAAATTACAAGAATGTAGAACGAATCGCAACGGTTATAAAAGTTAACGATGAATTTAAAACTAGAAAATACGACATGTATGTAGCACAAGTAAATAACAGGATGACCGAATATCCACAAGTAGAAAAAACTTTCGAAATAATACAGGACATAATGGTGTTCGTTACACCAAATATGAAAACGGATGACCGATGGAGCATTTTCACCCATCAGTTCAAACCTGTTGTTTGGATGTTATTTGGACTTGTATTTCTGATACTTTACAGTTTATTTCAATTTACTGCTTACTTAATACCCAACGCTAATGTAGGATCAACTTTGTTCTTATTTTTGAGTGTTCTATTTGAAGGTACTGCTAATGTTCGTGTAAAGTCTCCGTCTTTCAACTTGCTTTTTTTAAATTATGCCATTTTTTGCTTGATATTCGCGACGGTTTACAAAAGCAAAATGTTTGATTTAATGAGGCAGGATTCGAGTTCGCAACAAATACAAACACGGCGAGATATATTAAAATCTTCTCTAGCCGTGGCTTTATCCGACAGAATACTAATTACTCTGTTCAAAAAATCTACTGATCCTTTCGAGCGAAGTTTGGCCGAAACACATCTTCTTTGGTGCCCGACTGATTACTGGAAGTGCATAAATAAAACCGCTTTCGACAAGGATATCATTACTGTGAGGTTAAAGATGGAATTAGAATATTACGTACCGATTTATTACCTAGAAGAAGATGGAACGTCCAAATTGAACATTTTGGATAAAGATTACCAAGACTTAATGGATTTCGTTTTAATTTTCAGAATGGGCCATCCGACTTTCGATGTATTCAATAAAAAATTAAAATATTTATATGAAGCAGGAATCGTCGAATTCATTACCTCCAAATTCAAAAGGAAATTCATGTACGCCATGACTTTAGCCCGATTAAAAACTGCCCAATATAGGCCTTTGTGTCTAATTACACTTCTCACTACTTTTATTGTTTACTTCGTTTGTATATCCATTAGTTTGATTGTGTTTTGTGCCGAACATGTTCTATTTTATTACAATAAAATATAGAAACTTACATAATAATGTCTGTGTATACAAAAAAAAATAATATTAACGCCCTTATCGTTCTTCGAGTTGATTTAAAATGTCTTTTTAATCGAGCAGAGGCGTAACCGAAACAAATATCAGCACTGAAAATTTCCTGCTTGCTAGCAGGAAAATTCTTTGTCAGTTTTTTAAATAAGTTACTTGTAGTTTTAAGGGTCACTATAAATTATTTTAGAAGATATAGAAAATTTACTACTTTCCTATGCTTTTATTTAATTTCACCACCACTGTAATTAAAATTATGCTTGGCTCTTTCTTGACGAATATCGTAAATACAAGAAGTGATAAACAAGCAAGCATTATGTACCTCATTTATGCATACACTCGGAAGAAAACAAGGAAATATTTCAAGTGTATAAGAAAATAATTGCATTAATTAAATATCATCAAAATATTACTTTAGCTACGAAACTATGATGGGAAACTGGAAAAATAAGTTGTCTTAAATCCGCCTCTGCAGGATTTATTGTAATTTTTTGACTTGAAAACGCAGTTCAATTTAGTCCTGATTGATGGTAATATTTAGTTTTCTGATATTCTCATTACAGCCACCTACATCGACCTTTGCGAGACTCTATCGCAAATACTCTTAGTCACGATAAAGTTATTGTTAAACTTCTCATCTTTGACGGCGCATCCGATCGTACATTCCAGATATTTCTTGCATTTAAAGATTTTAAACCTGTTCGTAAGTAAGTGCAAGAACGATTTAATGCTAGTAATTCTCTTTGAAAAAAAAAGCGAACTGAATAAATTGTATCATTTTAATAAAGCGATGCGAAATGCGTTCATAGATCGCCGTTATTCTCATTAAAATTGAAAAGATTAATTACAGAAAAAAGTGCAGATCGTCGTGTTAATTACTTAGTAAGGGAATTAATCAGAATTACTCCTAAAATCAGAGGCGTTACAAATTCTTTTAGTTTTATAGTCAGGTATACAGTGTTCTCGACCTTATGGCGCTTAATTCTAAGGGTGGTAGTTTGTATAATTTGAGAGCGATTCTCAGATTTCATTTTTCTAAAAAAATTATAATAAACAAAATTTGAAATATTAAAAATATTTCAAAGAAATGCGGTCCTGTACATCGGTTGAAACCCCTCAACCGCGCGATACATTGCGTTCTCCATAGGTTAGAATCGATAAATAATTTATAAATTAAGAGTGATATCTTATTAGAATTTGTCTATTACTTATTTATCCATATGGTCTCTAAATTTTTATAATCATGGATAAATAATAAAAGTAAACCGGGTTTTTCAAACAATAGAAGAAAATCAAACAGAAAAACTTTAAACTCGAAATGAATATTAGCTTACCTATTCTTTGTTGTTGAAAGCTGCTTAAGTGTTCCAGAACATCACTATAACGAATAGGAACTAACTAAACTAAGAAGATCACTAAGAACTAAAACAATTAAGTAAATCACTAAAGTCTAATCACAAAAATCTATTTAACCCCGATATAACAAACAAAACAATACGATTCGCACTAGAAAAGAATCGGCATCGATAACGTTTTTCGAAAGCTGGAGGACGGAGGGGGAAATTTGCGCTTGCTGATAAAATACACCGTATCTGTTTTTTTTTAGTTAAAATTCCGATCAGCTGACTATTGCGGCCAGGGTCGTATTCGCTCTTTGCATTTATTTCTAATCGCTCTATTTTGTTTATTATATTTTTTTTAGAAAAATGAAATCTACGAATCGGTCTCAAATTATGCAAACTACCACCCCTAGAATTTAGTACCATAAGTTCGAGAACACCCTGTATAGATGAATAGAGTCTATGAAGAGGCTATGAATAGAGTCAGGGTTTTTACATTACGATATTGAACTTCGTTCTATGTTCATGACTGCGAGAACCGAAGTCGCCTCGCCAATATTTTACGATAACGACCTTTAGGTGTGAAATATAGTCCGCAGTCGGAAGAGATCTTTTAGAAGTAGACGCGCCCAATGCAGTTCGCAGCTTAAATATTATTTATTCCCATCGGGTCGTCTACAAAAGAGGAAGGCATAAAGTCGTTGTATATGGTTTGTCGGAGCGTGTAACCTCCGGGTTATTTGTCTTGCTCGTGGTTTATTCGTCGACTCCCGGAAAACGGGATTTAATACTAAATCACCCTTCTTACCCATCATCCTTTGCTCGATTATAATCCTGTTTTCTGACCTAAGTGCATAAAGAATTAGCTACTAAAAATATTTGGAATATTAAATGATTTATGATTCTCTAAGTAGATGCTTATAATAAACACACATGGATTAAATTCTTTCGGTGCAGGTAAAATAAAATTTAGTCGCAAGGTTTCTATTATATTCGTAGTTTTATAGAACTTTCAATCCTTCCAAAAAGCTATCCCAATCTACCACTGCCGACGTGTCTGACTAATAAGAATACCATCACATAAAGTTTTATTACGTATCATTAGTTAACATTATCTTCATCCAACGTTACTTCTCTCTTTATTGCCACGTACTATTAATACTTGAAGAGGAAACAAAAAACTATAATGACACCTTGATACTCTTAACGGCGTCCTAAAACATATCTTACTATCACGATACAACTATTAAAAGCTCGGCTTTTACAATCTTTTTGAAAAACGGCATACTCGACAGAACTGAAAAATGACCCATAAATGTCGCTCAAACGGATACAGAGGAAACTGATTGTAAATTGAATAAATCAAACCGGTGAATTGGTTTTTAAGGTTCTAAACTATTTTATAGTTTCGATGGTTTCTTAACGTTTTATGGGCGGACGAGGAACGATTGGGAAAGAGCAAATACCAACGGCAGTCAATCCATTACATCAACATCTGTTAATATAAAAAACATTTAAAGTAGCCAGTGTCTCAGCTTAATATAGAATCAAAGAAAACATTTTTTTGAGAAACTATTCAATTTTTATCTTCCACTGCAAGTGTAAATAGAGCCATTCGTCGGTGACTTCTCCACCGGCAGAACGCAATCTCAACTATCCAATTACTCTGTATTTATCGCCATTTATGGTTATTTATTACGCGCAGTAAACAAAACAGAAATGACGTACGATAATATCGATTTTAAAGATTAAAATGTGATAATGCGCGGAAAATGGAAGCAAGGAATGAAGGTATTCGTCGGTGATCCTACAAGAATATTTCAGATTCTGCTTTTGAACTCATAACTTTTATAACAGTAGGCATCTATTGAATGATAAAATATGTCTCTAGAAGATAAGGATGAAATAAGGAACTAAATTTGAGACACCTCGTATATTAAAAAACGATAATGACCTGTTAACGTAATGATTAATAAGGTAGATAAATTAAAAAGAACCTTATGTTAGTAACTATGTAGGTAATATAGTTACATTTCAAGCATCAACTTCTTTATTTTGTAATAACCCCATGAAACGTATCGGAATGATTTTCATAATTTATATCGCGCAATGCCCGGATAAATTTATGAATGCAGGACGAGATCATGCTACGGAGGAGAGATTTACGCCTCACGCACAACCAGAACCTCAGGAGGTGTTGGCTTTACGACTTCGCCATGCCACTTTTTATTAGGATCACCTGAACGAATAAAAAAATCATCATTGTAAATCAACCGGCACTTTCTCGGCGATATTTTCTTTCGACGGGCATATTTTAACGGGCGTTAATATCGCTCGAGCGAAATTATCGAGTTTATTCACTTTGGTTGTGGTGCTTACCGGGTCTGTCTCGTAAATCACGGGAAACGCTCGGCGATTTCTGGGCGAATAAAAGCGATCGCCGGGAATCGCACAAATCCTAAATTAAATGCATTCAACGAGTATTAGGTATCTTATATTCGTTAAAATAGTCTATGACATGTTAAGTATAAATCAACTGGGAATTCTTCATGACACATTGGGAAATACCTTGGAAATTATTGAGCTCTTATTCTAATGGTTTGTTCTTGACACTGGTATAAAATAACGAAACCAACCCACAGGCTGAAAAATAACAATATTATTTTTAGATCATTGTGGTATTTGCAAAGCACTTATCAGTAAAAATAATTACCTGATCCAAACAATCCAATAAACATAAATGGTGGCAAACAGCCAGATAATAGCAAATAAGGAAATATAGCACTACCAACCAAAGTACCTATCCGTCCTGCAGTTAACTGTATCGACAAAGCTATTGCCCTGAAATTGACACAATTTTATTTTACTTTTTATATTGTACTCTCTACTTACCTTAAATTAGTCGGGAATAATTCTAAAGTTAATGCGATAAGAACATTTTCTGCGACGCTTGCAGTCGCAGTCCCGGTTGCAGCTAAAGCTGTAACAACTTGGGAACTTCTGGCGAAATAAATGGAGGAATTCAATCCGGCGCATAAGAAACAAGTTACGACTGTAACAAATAAACTTCCATTGGAAATATGTGATGAAATGATTCAAATAAGCTCACCTGTTAGCGTTTTAACGCCCAACAATTGTAGGAAGTAATCCGATAATGCAAACATTAATATTCGAGTTGCTGCTACTATGAATGTGTTGATGTACACGGATATATTCTCCAAGTTCTTTAAAGAGAACGATCAAAAGAAAGTATCAATTTAATGACCAATTATCTACTTACAACGAAACAATTTTGAGTTGTAAAATTCTCCTGATGGGGTTTTAATTCATCTAACATGACGCATATGCTATTCGTGTCATTGTGGTAATATTGATAGTCGTTGATAGCTTGAAAAATTTGAGGAAGCCAAAGTTTTAATGTATTCGAACTAAAATAAATTAATACTGCTTTATAGACACGTTTACCAACACATTCTTTCAGTTTACCTCATTATCAATGAAAATGCATTGAAACAGCCTAGACATATGTAGAAGATTTGCGGTTTGTGGAACATTTTGCCCATTCCCATAAATCCATCTTTCAAAGCTTTGCTAACTTTCTTTTTGTTAGTTGTTTCTTCTACCAAACTTTTTACCTAAAATACTAACCATTTAATTGATTAACATAAGAAGTTACGTATGATTTACCGGAAAATTTTCTTGAGATTGCCCAGAATTGAGAGCGTAAATTTTTTTCATAACGTTCAACGCTTCTTCGGTTCGTCCTGTTGCCATTAGAAATTTAGGAGATTCTGGCACAAAGGTGTAGAGAACACTGCTGATAATTGTAGTTGAGGCGCAAATTAATAATAAAATGTTCCATGAATGTAATTCTACAATTGTGCATAGTAATAAATATGTTTAATTTAGGTGGTGAATTAAATTGTTACCGTAGAGACCGAAAAAAGAAAAATCCCACTTTCTAGGCAGAATTGCCCACGCAAGTACAGGAAGCAAAAGATTCCCAATACTTATAAATATCCCTTTAGCCAAATTAACACGTCCTCTGTAGAAATTCGAATGAAATTCAATAATATGACAACTTCCAGCTGAATAGGGTCCATTAATACTACAACAACAATATCATTAAATCTTTAAAAGCGAAATTTTTAAAAATCGACTTACAAAACACCAGATAGCAATTTAGCTACCATTAAAACAGTTTTATTGGTCGCCAGAGCGGCTGTTACTGCAAAAACTCCGGTGACTAAATAACCGTAAACGATAATTCTTTTCCTACCCAAAGCATCGCTGATGTATCCCCAAAACAACCCGCTAGTAATCATCCCTAAAACCATAAGCAATAGAGTGCAAATTGAAATCTAATTTTCCCAACTGTTTACCTGCGAACATTGCGCCATTTAGGAAACCTTTGTCTTCTAAACTTAGCTCTAAATCACATTGTGCGACCGGAAGCACATAGGACAATTCAACTGTGTTTAAAAGTTGAGCGATGGAAGGGAAAAATATAATGAAAAGCAATAAATAATTGAACTTTCCAAAACCGGTTGCGGTAATGGCTTCTTCGAAAGTAGCTGCAGTTTCAGCTATAAAAATGCAATTATTATTAAATTGTTCATATAATTAGTTTCATGTGTAAATTCGTCCAATTTTAGAATACCTACATGCCTAATGAAATTGTTAAACAACTTTAACTCTTAACAATTTTTATCCTATTAATCGTTATTTAATTATTAATATTAAATATTTATAAAGCTGTTAATACTATAATCACTAAACATGACAGAACAACTGATAAGAAATTTCTATGACACTCACACACGCATGAAATAAAGAAAATAATTAAAACAAATTGAAATTGAATAAACATAAATTAACATAATGCACTAATAACTGTTCAAATAAAAGCGGATATTTACCTGTTGGATTCATGGTAACACCTTCATGCTCACTATTGTCACTTTTGTTGTTCTGATGTACGCCCATTTTTCTTATTTACAAAACATTAGTAAAAAGAAGGTATTCTAGAGCCACAACGAGTCGAACGTTCAAACAACTCAATTAGTATCGCTACTTAGAAGTACTGTTTAGTCAAGTTTGATACAGTGCTATAATGAAGCGTTCCTTCTTTTACTAACAAACATGAATGTATAAATCAGTGGAGTAGTTAACTTTCGGTAAAAGTAGATTATATTATCAGTACAAATGTAGACAGTACATTACCGATTGTTTAATTATTTTTAACTTGTCTACATATTTACACGATTTAAATACAATATACATATATAAATAGCACTTATTATATTTTTAATGGTGACGTAAAATGTAAAAAATCTGCGCTATTGTATAAACTTAATTAGTATGTTAAATTAGTCGGAATGGTATAATTTTATTGCGGTATTTGAGGAGGAAGTAGTGTGGAATTATAATTAATTATAACTAGGATTTATAGAAATTTAAAAAACAATAAATTTCGATAATTTATTAAAAAAATGGATTCACCATTAGTAAATTTTAGACTTCTCTTCGTTTATGCAGGTATATTTAACACATGTATACTAAATTAAAGCTTTGTTTTCTACGCTCGAGTACAAAAATGAAGCTGTAGCACCAGCTATAATAAAATATAGCATAAATATAAACATACAATAGTTGAAGCATTTTTATTAAACTTACCCAGTGCAAAAACTCCAATACACAAGAACGGTGGCAAACAACCCATATTTATGAGGTAAGGGAAAATAATATTTCCGATAAGAGTTCCTGCCCGCCCGCTTGTTAAATGTATGGCAATAGCGATTGTTCTAAAAATATATTATCGTAATATTACTAGATTAAAATATCATTTACTAAAATAACACGTGTCACTTAATGCAGCAATTGCCATCAAATGTTCGTTCAATTTTTATCGCATCTGGCAAATTAAAACTTATTCATACAGAGGCTACATTTGAATTTTTTAAGGACTATTTATAATATGAATTTTGATTTTTTTATTTAGGTACCTTAATTGAGTCGGGAATAGTTCCAAAGTAAGCGCTAATAATAAACTTTCTACTATACTTCCGAGACCTGTGCCTATTGCAGATAAAATTGTGACTGTGGTTTGATCTTGTGCGAAATATATGGACATCATGAAGAAAGCGCTTATATAGGAACAGGTAACTGTAATAAAATAGTACATATAGAGTTTCCTCAAGTACCAGGGTTTCCTGCAAGTAGCACTTATTACTTACTGTTAAGTGTTTTTACTCCTAATAATCTCACGAATGGCGTGGAAATGAGGAAAGCGAATATTCTTGTTAATGCAACAATAAATGTGTTGATATAAATTGATAAACTATCTGGGACCTGAAAAATATCTTGAAATTTCTAATATCTGATGCATATAATAATAATATCTAAGTATTTTTTTTAAATCTACGCACTACATTGCAAGATTGCCTCGAAACTTCGATTTTCTTAGATTGTATCATTTGAAGCGTGTCGCATATGCTAGAAGTTTTGTTATAAACGTACTCGTAGTCACTCATCGATTGAAAAATACTTGGTATCCACAATTTTAAAGTATTTTCACTACGGAAATACACACTTAAAAATGTATACAATTAAATTAATTACGTTCATACCTTGCCATGAGTGTAAAAACATTAAACGTTACTAAAATCACATTACTAATATGTGGGCGATGAAAAATGCCGACAAACTCTTTCAATTCGTGCAACAAAGTGTCTTTTAGAGCAGCGTTTTTTCTTTTAGTTTCTTCTTGTAAAGTTTTAATCTAAAACGAAAGTGGAATTAATACACAATGGAGCATTCAATAAATAAAAAATTTGCAGGGCTTCCAGTGCTTACAGGAAATTCTGTCGTGGGTCTTCCCGTGTTCAAAGCAAACACTTTTTGCATAATCAATAAAGCTTCCTCGTTTCTGCCTGTGGTCATAAGAAATTTAGGACTTTCGGGCAAATAGATATACAATAAACCGCTTATAATTGTTGTCGAAGCGCATGCCATGAGAAAGAAATTCCATGAATGAAGTACTTAAAAAGGTTAATTTTTTAAGAATAAACAGTGTGATTTCAGGAGTTTTGGATCTTTTTTTACCAAAAAATCCCAGTACGTTAACGTTCCAATTTCTGGGCAGAATGGCCCACGCCATTATAGGCAATAGAAGGCATCCTAGGCTCACAAAAATACCTCTTGCTATGTTTACTATACCTCTATATTTTGTTGAGTGAAACTCAGCTATATGAGCTATAGATACCGAAAATGGACCATTCATGCTGAAAATTCATAAATACAACCTTCATAATACTTACTGTCCTTACAGAAAAGACATAAAAAAGTGTTTTACACCATCTAGTTTCGACCTACATAGCCCTCTTCATTCCTATATTTCTTTAAGAGGGCTCTTAAGGGCAAAACTATTGCTGTAAAATCTATACCTACACTAAACCAGACATGAACTTCGATGCCATGAGCACCGTTTTATTCACGGACAAAGCTGCTATAAGCCCGAATATTCCACTTGCTAAGTAACCGTAAACCAAAATATTTTTTCTGCCTAGTGCGTCACAAAAAAATCCCCATATTAATCCACTTGCCATCATACCTACAAATTAGCAATTCATTTAGGTACCTAAATATTGGATTTTTTTACTGACAAAAATGGATCTATGTTAATGAATATAGGTGTGTTTTTTAGGAGTCTTACCAGCAAACATCATTGCATTTAATAATCCTTTATCTTCCAGCGACAAATTCAAATCGCATTCAGCAATTGGTAATATAAATGATAATTCTGTGGTGCTGAACATTTGAGCAATGCATGTAAAGCTTATAACAAATAGAAGCCAATAATTATATTTTCCGAATCCTGTGGCGGTAATTGCCTCTTCAAATGTTGCAGGTGCATCTTGTTCTAGACAAGTTGAACAATTTTAAAGAAAATTACGAAATTTCGAAAATATCGTGGAAAATAAATTAAACTTACTGCTTTTGCAAAAACTTTCATTACGATGTTGACTATTATTAGTTGATAACACTCCCATTTCATCTAATTAACACTTCAATCATCGCAGAACTAAAATGCGAATGACTCGAGACAAAAATATCGAAAATTTTATACGGCATTAATTTCACTATAAACAAATTTGAACAATTAGGTAAATTAGCAAATTATTTCAATCAGTAGCTCTTTAAGCTAAGATAAGATAAAAAGACAAAAAATGTTAACCAGATTTAAATAATATCTACTATATTATAACCTTGACATTTATTTGCATACCTGAATATTTATAGCTTATTGGAAAGTCACGGTTGTTATCAGGAAAATTATAGTAAGGAAATTTCATAGTTAGAAAAACGGAAAAAAATATGGATAATGGGAATTTATAAAGGGTGTTATTTTATCGATGACCAAATTAATGCGGTTTTTATTATCAAATAAATTAGAATTGTCCTCAGAGTGATAGATCTATTCAGATAGATCTATTTACAGATAATCAGAACGATTATCTATAAATTGATATACGAGTACAATCACCCGAAAACGTAAAAAGTTTATTCTTTTATGCAAAACATTTTTGAGAGTGTATACAAAGAGTGTATACGATACAAAAAAAAAATATTTGTCGCAGCACTTTAAAAGATTTTGGATGTACAGAAGTGAAAATTTGAAGACAGGTGTTTCAATACATGAGAAATCATAATATGATAAAAACAATTTAACAAAAGACATTTCAATTAATAAATGGCTAGTGGCTTTTCAACTTTATATATAGTAAGATGCAAAACATTTTTAAGAATGTGTATGTATAAATATGTATAAATATATACATAAATATTTTCTCCACTGGTCATGATAAATTATTCGAGCTGTATACATATGTACCTATATTTCTCATATTACTATTCCAATGACACCTATACCAACTTTTGGTGACAAATAAAATTATTCTCGTTTATAAATAAGTTTTCTTTTGGTATTCGAAGTGTATTTGTACAATAGTATTAAAATTTTTCTTGAATCTTAGACTAAAGGTTTGTTTTTTATGCTGGGATACAAAAATGAACCCAACGCGCAAGCTGCAACATAAAAAATAATTTATAAAAACAACATAAAATATCTGCAATATTTACAAGGTTTAAAAATTTGCGCTTCTTCTTACCTAGAGAAGAAATTCCAATAAACAAGAAAGGTGGAAAGCATCCTGCATTTATTAAATGTGGAAAAATAATATTTCCCATTAGAGTACCTGCACGTCCAAAAGTATAATGCAATGATATTGCTATAGTCCTATAAAATAAAAAAAATCTAAGCAAACAGTTTCTGAATAAAAGAAAGAAATAAAGAGTACCTCAATGTTGTTGGAAACATTTCCAACGTAAGCGATAGGAGCAAATTTCCTGCTACACTTCCTATAGCTGTACCTACTGATGATAATGTTGTAATAGTAGTTTCATCGTACGCAAAATAAATTGCCACATTAAAGATAGTTGTCAAGAAGCAACAACAAACTAAAATAAACCAGATTTTATACAGCGAAATAACAAATTACACTAATTACTATTCAGCGTTTTAACTCCCATCCATTTTACAAACGGTGTGGAAATTGAGAAAGCCAATATTCTCGTAAATGCCGCAATAAACGTATTAACATACACTGACAAGCTATCCTCCGCCTGAAAAAAAAAATTATTTCCATTTTGATAAAAGTGAAGCGCACATTTTTTTTTCTTACGACAATACATGTTTCTGAAGTTGAAGTAGAAACATTCTGCGGTTGTATCATTTGCAACATGTCGCATACGCTTGAGGTGGTACCGTTATGGATGTACTTGTAGTCACTTACAGATTGGAAAATACTCGGTAACCACAACTTTAAGGTATTTACACTGCGAAGTACGATATTAAATCATTGCAATTTTTTATTCGCTATTTTCATTACCTGGACATTAGAGTAAAATCGTTGAAAACGACTAATGCCACACTTAATAGGTACGGGTGATGAAAAATTTTCTTAAACTCCTTTAATTCGTGAATAAGTGTGTCTTTAATGGTTATTTGTCCTGAGAGACTCCTTCTTGCCACTTCTTCATGAAGTTTCCTTACCTAAGGAGATATAACAAATTACCTACACTCAGTAAAAATTCTTTACCTAATCCTCATACTAAATGTAGATACTAAACCTGTAGATAAAGTAGTAATCGCATATCATTAATTTTATTTACTTACTGGAAATTCTTCCCCTGACTTTCCTGTATTTAAAGCGTACACTCTTTGCATCACTAACAAAGCTTGTTTATTTCGCCCTGTAGACATAAGGTACTTGGGACTCTCGGGCAAGAAAATATAGAAAATGCCACTTACGACTGTTGTTAAAGAGCATACTATGAGAAAGAAGTTCCACGAATGAAGTTCTTAAAGAGAAAGATGTAAGTAACCAAAAATATTTTATAAAAAATAGGCATTGGAGTGAACAAAGAAGATAAGAATATAAATAATTCTATGAACAACTGAGCAAGCAAATCAGAAGTTACTGAAATTGAAAATATTTTGCTAGTGCAAAATTGCTTAATATTTCATTAAGGCTTACCAAAAAGACCGAAAACGCTAATATTCCAAGTTCTTGGAAGAATAGCCCATGCCAATACAGGCATTATAAGACTGGCAAGGCTTAAAAAAATACCCCGTGTTGTATTGACTATACTTCTATAATTCGTCGAATGAAATTCAGCAATATGTGCTGTTGATGCCGAAAATGGTCCATTGATGCTGTAAGAAATGAATTATTTTACTGTGAAATATCGAATATTAAGAATACATAAAAAAGTAGGTACTCACACAACTCCCGATAAGAATTTCGCAGCTATAAGCACATTTTTATTCGCAGACATAGCGGCAATTAAACCAAATACACCGCTTGTGAAATAACCGTATACTAGAATATTTTTTCGACCGAATGCATCGCATAAAAATCCCCAAATTAAACCGCTTGACACCATACCTATAAAGTAACATATTTACAATCCTTTATACAAGTATTTTCTTAACAATTTACTCACCAGCAAACATGACTCCATTTAAAATGCCCTTATCCTCCAGCGTTAAATTGAGATCACATTGCGCTGCAGAAAGAATGAAAGACAAGTCCGCATTGTTGAATACATTAGTTAGGCAAGGGAAGCAAATTACAAATAGGAGATAATAATTATATTTTCCGAATCCAGTAGCACTGATAGCTTCCTCGAACGATGCTGGTGAATCTGTTTCTAGAAGAAAAAGTGAACTTTTCGTTTGGACTTTTGTAATTTATAAGAAACTTGAAGAAAAAATGTAAGAAAACTGGTATTGAATATTAATTAGGTTAACTTATACATACTGTTATCATTATTTTCATCTTCTATGTTATTTTTATTAGTAGTTTGCACTTCCATTATAATTAACACACCAGAATTTCACACATATCTAATCATAACAGTGGAAAAATTGTGTATAAATTAAATAATGTACAAATAAACGCATTATTTTATTAGTTATAAAAATGTAACAAAGTAAACACTAAAAATAATAGGAGTAAGTACTCAAAATATTAAATTTGTTTTTTCTAGCATCACAGGTTTAGAATCTATAATGTAGTGACGAAGAGATAACAATTTTTAAGTACATAAATTATTATTTGATATCACCTGATAAAACTATTTGCAAGTTACCAGTTTTTTGTATAATTTATTGGACGCATTTTGCTTGATTAAGCTAGAGATATGCGTCTAATCCCTTCAAGGTAACATGAGGTAATTACGTCAATACGAACGTTCCTTCAAAGCGGAAAATAATTCTAAATCAGTAATTTAGAAAAAAACATGAAAATTCAATTTTCCGGATCATATACGAATGAAGAAACTATACCTAACGGATCTCGTTGATCTAAACATTAAACCAAGTTTAATTCGATTGCCTTGTTCGACGTCTCGAACTTGACATGGAGGAATTATTAATTAATAGCGTCTTAGGTTATCCATGAAATTCTAATAGAAATCAAGCAGAAATCGACTTGGAATTCCATCTGATAGGCTCTTATACATAATGTTTCTTATTTGATGAGAATCGCCATAAAAGACATGGACTTTACAAGCAGAGTTTTATATACCTACTTTAAATTCGCTAAATTATAAAAAAATAACTTTTATATACACCGAATTAGTACTTATCATGCTGTCAGAAATTTTTAATAAAAAAATGTAGGCAAGTTTCCAGATATTCGCACATAGTGAAGCCATTAAATTGTTTAACATTTGTCTACGCGTATATTTACAATCTAGCGCTGACAAATTTTTAACTAAAGAGCGAATGAAAAATGGCCATGGGTGCAGTACCGACGTGCCGTGGTACCATCAATTTATCAGATTAAGTGCTGAATGCATCTTCGCGTAATAGTCATGTTTCTGGCAAGGAAACGACAGCCGTTTCTGAAACGTACAAATTGCCAGCAATAGAAAGAATAAATTCCTGCATACGAACACGACGGCGCGTTTGAATGAATTATTGTTACGAAAACGGCAATAAAAAAGACGGTACTTCTGCAATAATTAATAAAAAAATCGATTGCAACTCGGCACTTGCGTATACCCTTTAATTAAAGTACTATTAGTATGTCGTGAATAATAAGGTATACGTATAACATGCAATTTTATTAAATACCTACTTATTATTGATTGTTATTGATTCAACCACTTTTTAATTACAATTCAGTAAATGGGGAATATTAATTAAACGTATCATAGTAGGTCAGCGCTCGTATTTCAGTAATAAATAAGAAAATTGCTAGTTGATCTACCTTTCCGCTTCAGTCCAATTAAATCTAGCCTTGAGAGCTATTTTACTTTCGATAATTTCAAATAATTGTTATAGGGCATTTTGTTATTAATTTATGATTGATTTTCAGATAAAATCGGTATTTAATTTCGTTCAGTTATAAACCACTGCCGACGTCCCTAAATAAACGAACATTAACTGTATCGAAAACTCGTTTGAACAGCAACACGCCGACCAGGAAAAATTATCATGTACTGATACTAAATGCAAATTTCATCGCGAGTTCGTTATTATCCAACGTTCGAGTCATGCGAACGTGTTTATGTGATTAGAAGAATGTAATTAGCAGAACCGACGAGCAGGATTTAACAAAGAAGACGTTCCGGCTCCGAGACCGTCAATTACCCGGCGATTTAATTTCATTTATCGTAAAATTTTATTGTTTGTTTCGATTGAAAAATATTTTTGCGCGGATAGCTAGAATACGGTAAAATTTACAGTATTTAGGAGGATTTCGAATTGTTGAAATGCTTGTAGGGAACTCTATTTAATTAAGCCCGACGATATTTTCATCGGATCGAGAAGATAAATAAGAATTAGGGAGTGTTGTGGGAGCCATCAATAATAACGAAACATCAATCACCTTCCACTTAATATTCAATTATCGCTAACAATAATAATAACTGTACATAGGTTTTGAACGACTCACGAATGAAATATACGTTCGCCGCTATAACTGAGCGATACATACCGGAGATCTATTTTAGATATAAAACCGAATATGTTTTTTTTATACGAATTCGGGCCGAGATCTCGGGCTGGATTATACGGGAGGCTGTATTATAGTGTTCAGAATTTGATTACAAAATGTAAAAAACTATGAGAAAAACGGACTCGGGAACAGAGTAAATAAATATGCAGCCAGTGAAGGAGCAAGTATTTATTCCTTTTCTTCGCTAATAAAAGTAGGTACCACCATTTTAATTAGGTTAATAAAAACCGGTATTTATTAGTGCTATTTAAACGGCCAGAACAACAAAGCGAAGGGAATGAGTTCGGCGCTTTTGTTCTTTTTTATGACAACATTAGCGTAAATAATCCGGTGACATATCACATTGTTTATGCAGTTCTTCGTAGGTTTTTTCGCCGAAAGAAAACGCGTAAAAATAAATTGCATAGATGAAATAATTGGCTGAAATCATAAAATTACTTCGAACCAAAGTAACGATTCTGCTATAATATGTAATAAACGAATTATAGCAGGAAATAACTAACAACATTTGATTCGTATCGCAATACAATATAAGCTCCAGTCAATACAAAAGGATATCGCCGTCAGGTATACCATTCAACAAATAACGGGGTGTCTGTGCATGTGAATAAGCCTTTACCAGGTCAACGGTGATGTCGATCCCAACGAAGATAACTAAGAGCATAACCTCCACGATTAAACCAGCTGAAATTTGTTATGCAATAATGGATAAGTCTACTTGGAATCAACTTCGGATGACCCATTCAATTAACTGAGCAAACCTCAAATCATCCGGCCGGTTAGGTAATTAAAATCGTCGGTAATATTTCGAAAATATCCTAATAAAAATGCTACGTTGCGACGTTGGGATCGTTAAACTCGGTCGTTTCGGGAGAGATTTCCAGCGAAAGCTATCTGCCTTACCCGATCGCCATCGATACGATCGTCAAGAAAGGGACGAAAAAATTCTTTGCCAATATCCACACAATTATCGTAAATTGATTTTTCGGCGTTCAGCTTTAATTTTCGACGTTGAATAAATATCTTCGAACGCAGAGACAAAAATCTCTCGGAGTTTTCGTAGTTCCTTTTGATATCGCCGCGCCACTTCGAGATGGCTGATTAAATTAGGTGAAAACGACTGTCTATTAATAAAAGGGAATCCTCGGTTATTTTTGTTCAATTTAAGTTAAGTAATTTCGATTAACATAAAACTATTACTTTGTCCAACATTTCTTGTTTTCTCGTTGATCATTTTTTTATTAATATTCATAGTTGTTATCTCAGCATGAAATTTATGCCAATTCCTTTAGACTCTGCATATCTCTTGTAGGTAGGTATTATAGATGATTCTTGTTTTAAAGATAAAGTTCAATTGGTTAAGTAAGTAGCATTAACGGTTTGGCGAAGAAGGAAGTGGATTTTTATTTGTAATAATCAGAATTATGCGCATGCGATTAGGGAATGAGACTCGAAGTTCATTGTTTGATGGGCGTTGGCCGATTCCGCGACGCAATCGAATAAATAACGTTCAATAATAATCCAGTTCGACGTAGCGTGCGTGCAACTTTTGAATAAAACATACATCAAAAATGCAACGGCTCGTAAAGCATAATCAATTCTTGCGCAGAAGTCATAGCCGCCTTAATTACAATAACATAAGCAAGGTTTGATTTTTCATGGAAGTTGGCAGGCTACCGATCTCAGACGGTATCGATAAATTACGCTCGATTGATAGTTATAATTCTGTAATACAAATATAAGACAACTATAACCATAATTCTTCTGTCGGAATAATGTGGCGATATTGTAAAAGGAGCTTGTCTTTAGTTAGAGGCAAAAGTTTTTTTTTTGCTTATGCGTTACTAGTCATGCAGGCAGCGATGACGACTGTCCTTACTCCTTTTACAATGTGCAAACTCATGTATTTTTCGACCTTCTACATAAATGTATGGTGCAGCGTTTATTCCTCGACTTCCTGGTTTGATAAACCGACTTTTTAATATGATGAAAATGATAGATGTCTAGTAAAAGAGTATAATTTCGGTTGATACGGTACTGCAAGTAAGTACAATGAACTTAGCGCCCATTGTGCGTTATAATTCTCGAAATCAACTATGTTTTTAGTCTTCCCTTATATTTTATATCTGACACTAAGTGGCTTTGCGATCTTTTTACATTGCCCACGGAATCATTGTAGCCGGCGGTCGACATGGCCCTATTATTGTTTTTGTTCCGTTGACCAAAGAGCTGTTAAGAGATTTCGAGAACAATAAATTCGATTCGGGAATCGGGATCGACGCGAGTTTTTGAGCTTCCTGATTTGCAATTTTCGTTTAACGGTATCTGTATATTCGGTTTATCTCATCGGTTTACGGCAGAGATGTTTTGCTCGATTCAATGGACCTCGCGTATAAATAATACAACAATACTTCCACGAATTTCAACAGTTTTTGCTTTTTGTTTATAAGTATTCGTTGTATTACTTATAAGTAAATCCACTTTTTTGCTTACTTATTAAAGCATTATTTAAAATTATGTACAAGAATGGTTAATGACAAATATTCGAAGATGTTGAAAGCGCTTTGATTGCAAAGAAATCATAAATTTTATTTGTAGAGTCTTCTTCTTTATATATATAAATTAATTAGTTTCATCGATTTCTATTTATTAAGTGTAGGTAAGTATTTTCAATTTACTTATTCGATTACCTCTTGTACATACATGGGTAAACATTATAAGTAAAAGCCGAGTAGTTAAGCAATAAATGTTTTTAATAATTAGTTAGATATCTAACATATGAGTGTTGTTACCACTCCCCCGTCTAAAATAATAAATGCAGTTATGGTGCGTATTGATTATAAATTTCAATAGTTCATTAAGAATAAAAGATT